TCTCTCTCTCTCTCTGGTGTGTATAGTAATTTCTATGGGCCTTTGTTTGATATTTAACCAAAGTGTTGGGTGATGCGTGCTGCAGTCCCACTCGGAGGCGGCGGGTGAGAGAATGACAAAACAAATATGAAAAAGAAAAAAAAAAATAAAAATAACACATTGGGTGCTTTTAAAGTAATTTGCTCTGTTTGTATGTTGGCTGTCGAGGGAACTTCCGTTGCCATATTTTGGCAATTGGGCTGTATCATCAACCAGCCCGGCTCGGCCCGACCCAGTATTGACCCGAGGGCCAACTCCGACCATCACCGATACTTTGCCTACTCATACTTCTGAATACTGCAAAATTGACTGATAAGCTAGTGTAGTTGTTATTATTAGTGCATTTAATTCCATATGTAGATAGCAAAGTTGTCAAATCCGGACAGAACAGGTTCCGTTGGGCTAATCGGATTTGAAACAGGTAGCCGACAAATGGTTTATTAACCGGATAAATTAATCGGTTAAAAACTTAAAATTGATCAAAACTGGTTGTATTTATTTTTCTAAACAATTTTTTTTTTTCCCTTCATGTAAAATAATTAGTCTGAGTTATCAGACCGAGAAGGACTACGATCTCGTTAGGGAACACAAAAATAGGATACCAACACGAAATGATATTTTATTTTGAACAGGTTACAAATTTGGAGAAAATTGTACAACTTCATGCTTATATCATCCATCTCTCATGGCGTACACGTGGCGTGATGCTTATCATTACTATAATCTAAGGTGGAAGGGTCCCACTCCCTCGGAGTGCACACAAATCAATTACGACCATAATGAAGATGGCTCGAATTGTCGACTTCTTGGTTCTTTCTTCGCCTCAACTCACTGTTTTTCAATCTGCCCGGCGGGTTAGACCCGGGACTTGGCCAACCCGGAGCTGGGACTGGTCCGGGTAGACTATTTGGACCGGATAACAACGAACTCGGTCAAACTTGATCAAAACCCGGCCAACCCGGCCTTGACCTGGTCGACCCGGGTAATTGACCCGGCCGGGTTAAATATTTTTTTATACAAAATAAAATTATTTAAATATATTTATATAGTAAATATTTATTGTGAGATATAATTTTTTTAACACTTTAATGTACAAATTTTATATGCAAAATATTTATTTTTGTTATTTTTATGTATATTTATATGTCAGAAATACTATATATAATTTTAAAAAAATTAAATTAATTATCCGGTTCAGCAATTGACCCGGTGACCCGGCGGTTGAACCGGTGACCCGGTGACCCGAAGACCTGCCCGGGTCGATTTCCGGGCCAGGTTTAAAAACTATGCCTCAACTCGTGCATGGAGTATCACTTGTGAGTTGTCTCACATTAATTCTATAAGGAAAATGAGTCTAGTATATAAGTCAAGTGCGCTACTCCTCCTATCACCAATTAGTTTTGGAATGGAACCTCACTCTGGTGCACCTAGGCTCACCCTCTTATGGTGCGCTTAATATGCGTGGGACCGCACTCTATTGCCCCAATTTTCTAATCTTACATGGTATCAGAGCCAGACCGACTCTTGCTTGGGTTTCTATCTCTACCCGGCCAACTCCGGCCAGAGTCTCTATCTCTACCCGACCTGTTCTGGGCTTGGGCTTACGAAAGACTCATAAGTGAGGGGCGTGTTGGAGTATCACTTGTGAGTTGTCTCACATTGATTCTATAAGGAAAATGAACCTAGTATATAAGCCAAGTGGGGTACTCCTCCTATCACCAATTAGTTTTGAGATGGAACCTTACTATGGTGCACCTAGACTCACCCTCTTATCTCTTATGGTGCGCTTATTATGCATGGACCGCACTCTCTTGCCCCAATTCTTTAATCTTACACATATCTTTTATATATAAAAATAAACCATATAATGCGAAACAATGTAAATATAATAATAATAAATTACAATACTGCGAAAACACATAAAATTTAAATTTTATATTTTATTTAAAAAACAAGTGATTCAGATAATGAAGTCAATCATTTTTTATTTTTATTTATTTTTTATCGTAATGTTATGTACTCGTTTGAAATAATTACCTGTACATATTATGTATTTCTTTTTATTATTATTAACCTTTCAACCATATATAGTATACTAAATTTATTTTATTGCAACAAGAAAATGATAAAATTCCAATTCAAATATGTTTCAATGGAATTCAAACGGCAATTCGAATTGATATTTCAATGTTATTACTTCGTTGCAATTTTTGAAAGATTCAAACTAAACTTCAACTTAAATTTCCATTTGAATGAGTTTTTCATTAAAATTTTTGTTTGTTTTTGTAAAATTATCCAGCAACATGCACCTACCTCATCATGGTGATGTGGAGAACTCAAGCATGCATGAAGACAAAACAAATGCAGCACCTGAGGCATGTTACTGTCAGCTAAAGGAGAATGAAGCTAGCTGCCAAATCCCAGATCCAACAAACTCGTACTATGACAGCCATGCCATGCACGTGTAAGGCTGGGATTATTCACAGCAAAAGGATGGATAGGATTGTTTCTCCATTAGATGGATCTAGAAGCTATTAGGGCTGTTTTTAGGCTATATATATATTTCTGTATGTTCATTATAAACAACAAGTGAAAAATCGCAGCAATATTATTATGATGATTTCTATCTTCTCAACATGATCAAGATGCCTTTGTTTAAGTTTTTCAACATGGTAGCAGAGCATGGTTGAGGCCATGTCTCTGATATCCTCCTTCTTTCTCTTCCTTTTTTTTCTTTTCTTATCATTTCTTTTCCTTTAGCCTAAAACACCATGACAGATTCACATTCTTCCACCTCAGGAGCTCACGGCAGCTCATCATCAAGCCCTCTAATTTTTCCTCAAAGCCAGCTTATCTCAATTAAGTTAGATCAAGACAACTACTTGGTATGGAAGCAACAGATCCTTACCACGATCAAGGGCTATGGTCTGGACTCCTTCATCCAACAGGAGACAACGGCTCCTTCAAAATATCTGGAAGGAGAAAACACCATCAATCCAGACTACACCATGTGGGAAAGGCAAGATTCATTGTTAGCCTCTTGGATGTTGTGCTCTCTGTCTGAAAGCATACTAGTGCTCATGGTTGGACTTGGCAGCTCAAGAGAGATATGGGATGCTCTTGAAAATAATTTTGCAAGCCAGTCTAAAGCCAAGATCATGCAGCACAAAATGCAACTGCAAAATCTCAAAAAGGGAAGTCTTTCTATGTCTGAATACTTGAGGAAAATCAAATCCATCTTTGATATGTTGGCTTCAGCAAGTGAGATAGTCTCTGAGAGCAACAAGATAATGCATATCCTTGGAGGTTTGGGTCCAGAGTATGATTCTGTGGTGGTTACAGTCACTTCAAGGCCAGAATCCTTTTCCATGATGGATTTGCAAGCTTTATTACTCAGCTATGAAAATAGGCTTGACTCTTATGGTGCAAATAGCATGAGCACAGCTGCACAGATGGCTCTCAACCCTCACTCAACACAATCTCCCAAACAAACCAAAACCAAGGAAAATTTTTTCAGCAAAGTCAAAACAAGAATAGAGGGGGTTTTAACAGCTTCAGAGGAAGAGGCCAAAGGGGGAATATCAGAGGCCGAGGTGGCCGTTCTAACCAAGGAGTAAGCTGCCAGATCTGTTCAAAAATTGGCCACAGTGCAAACAAATGCTGGTATAGGTTTGACTCCAACTTCACTCCTCAGTCAAATCAGAATACTCAAGGCAGCAAGCCACCAAACCTCAATGTGGCTCAAATGAACAATTATGCAGTCTCAGAAGTTGGTCAAGAAAGTTCCTTATGGTTCCCTGATTCTGGTGCAAGCAACCACATCACCAATGACTATGGAAACTTCAACTCAGCAAGTGAGTACTCAGGACAACACAAACTACAGCTAGGTAATGGAGCAGGTATGGATATATTGCATAATGGTAGCTCATTTCTTAAATCTCCTTACCATACCAGAATCTTTACCTTAAATAATCTCCTTCATGTCCCAAACATTACTAAAAATCTCTTGAGTGTGTCTCAGTTTGCCCTGGACAATAGAGTGATTTTTGAGTTTCACCCTCATTCATGTTTTGTAAAGGATCAAGCCACTCAGGAGGTGCTTCTCAAAGGGAAGGTTAAAGATGGACTCTATCATTTTGATCTCAAAAGTCAGAAGTTTTGCCCACCAGTCACTATTGATCATCAAATACCTCTTAAAGGCTCTGGTGTTTTCAGTTTCAACTTGAATAAGGCTTATGATTTAGACTTATGGCATAGAAGGCTAGGACATGTAAGCCATGAAGTAGTTAAGAGAGCTCTTGAGCATCGTAATGTTCCTTTTGTTCTTAATGAAAATTCCAGTTTATGTGGTTCTTGTGCTGTGAGTAAAAGTCATAAATTACCTTACATGCATTCAATTTTTCAAGCATCAGAACCTTTGGAATTAATACACACTGATCTATGGGGTCCCTCACCTGTGAAATCCAGAAATGGATATGCCTATTATCTGAGCCTAATTGATCACTATACCAGGTTTACCTGGATTTACTTACTGAAGCAAAAGTCAGATACACAACAGGCCTT